AAAAACCTTCATGCCAAGTTATATCGAAATCAGACCAAAACTGTAAGAGGAGTAGTATTTTGATGAAAAAAATTGTTTACAGACAGATGGACAGACAGAAAGCTAGACAGAGGGACGACCATGGACACATTACCAGGGTACCATCACATAAGCTCTTCTGTTCTCTGACCAGTAGAGCTAAAAATATGCTGTTCACAGTCAGGAAGTAAAAATGTTTTAATTTTTTTGTTCTTTTTTAACAGGTTACATTCCCTACAGAAATCCTGTGATAGTTTCCCCACCTGTTTAATTATTGTAAGCGACATTGATGGAGTGAAAACTGTTGTAGCTCACAGCAGATTATCAAAAGTTCAGGGGAAAGCCAACTCATGTTTAGTGGAATCAGGTATAACTTCTGGGAATTTTTCTTCTATAAAAGCAGGCATTTTTCACAAATAGAAGAGAACTCTTTCTTACAGTATGCATCATTTAATGACATGTACTTTTAAATGGAAGTATATTAACATGTTTAATGTAGCCATTCAGTGACTAAAAGTTGGAGCTATTCATTAAGTGCCATATTTTCAGAATAGCTCTTTACATCAAGTTTTGTAAAGTAAGTTTACACAAATATTTGTTTGCAGTTGTTGTAAAGAAAAGTCTACGGGGCAAAGGATATGGAAGGAAAATTATGCTTGAAACGGAAAAATTTGCAAAGAGGTAAGGAAAGGACATGAATGTTATTCTGCGGAGCATGAAATATTATAAATAAGGGTGTGATTTAGTCTGTCATGTTTCGCTGATTTTAATTGCAGCAAAGGAATCACAACGATATATCTGAGTACCCATGACAAGCAGAACTTCTACAAACATTTAGGATACGCCTTCTGTGACCCTATAGTCAGCTTTGGTGTCAATACAGACATTTTACCTGAAGGTTTTGTAAGTGTTAAATTTTCTTTTAAATTTTCACATAAATATTAATTATTAAAATTTTATGCTTTGAATCTATTTAAGAGGTTGTGATGTACAACTTGTAAAATTAGAATGCAGCCTGTATAATGGATAAACTACAGCATAATACAGTATACCACAATTTGTTTGATATGAAAATCAAATTTAATATAAAAACAAGATGTGTTTGTGAAACACTATGTGCCCAACGGCAACAAAGTTCAAAAAAATATTTTCAGAAGATAAGTCAAGGTCACAAGGTCATTGACCTTGGTGTCATTTGAAGAACTTCATTAGTGGAATATGCACACCAAATATGAAGTCTCTATCTGTCATGGTTCAAAAGTTATGGAGAAAGTTTGTAAAATCTATTTTTAGCATAAAGGTCACAGTCAAGGTCACAAGGTCATTGACGTTGGTGTCATTTGAAAGAGCATCATTGGTGGAGTATGTATATCAAATATAAAGTCTCCATCTCTCATGGTTCAAAAGTTATGGCGAAAATTTGAAAAAGCTATTTTTAGCAAATAGGTCACAGTCATGTCACAAGGTCATTGACCTTGGTGTCATTTGAAAGAACTTCATTGGTGAAGTATGCATACCAAATATGAAGTCTCTATCTTCTATGGTTCAAAAGTTATGGCGAAGGTTAAAGTTGACAACAGACAGACAGACAAACAGATAAACAGACAGGACAAAAACAATATACGCCTCCGATCTATCGATTCGGGCGCATAATAAAAACTGTTTTATTTTGTCAGTTCAAAACTCTGTACTCTTGTGTTCTTCTGGTAAAGCACTCAATTCAAAAATGCAATTACAAATTTTGAATTATGGTAATTTTCCTAGTGTTAGATGTACAAAGTGTTTTTGAAAATGGTAAAAATTTTGTTTACTCCATGATTTTATGATAAAAATGACTATTATGAATAAAATTCTGTTTCTTTAATTTCAGTTGCTAAAGTTTTTACCAGAGAACTCGGCTGAGAGAGACAGTAGCAAAAGTTCTGAGAATACCTCCATTCCTACCTCAGGGTCACCTGTAGTGCCCCCCTCTGTAGCCCCACCCCCACCACCACCTCCTCCCCCACCCACACGGGCCACCCAGAAAGAAAGACCGGATATAGTTAGATGGGATCCTAGTGCAATATCGTGGATGAAAAAAGATCTATAATGTGAGAGATGCCATGTAATTTTTTGTATTTTATGAATTTATAGAATTTTTTATCCCCTGCTTCATTATATATATTTTAATCCCTGTGTATTTCAGTCCTTGAAATGTAGTAAATTATATTTTGTATTTGTAAATTTCTTACCCTTTGTGCAATATACAGTAACATGTAATATGTTTCAAACAAGTGAAGGCACTTATTTTTTTTAATGGTCGTGTAATAGTTTTTCTACAAAACTTTTCACTTTTCAAACAGGATGCTCTGTGTCATCTGATTAAAGAAAAATAAAATAAATGATATTTCAAAATCAATATTTTTAAAAATTCTTTATACATGAAATCATAACGTGTTTCACCTTAACATTATACAATGAGATCTATTCAAAACAAATGTGAGATTTCATCCTCTGAAACACACAAGAGCTTATATCATCAAATCAAAAAATCTTCACAAAGTTTTAAAACTTCGGCTTCCAATTCAAATAGATGAGGGTCTTGAACGTGAGGAGATATTTTGCGAACAGCCTCGGCAAGATTCAACAGGTACTCTGTATTCTTGCCACTAGGTCCCACAGAATTCACGATTTGATTGGCTATGTCTTTGACAGGTGCTGGGCCAAGGTAATTAGTATTGGTCTCAGTGGCCATGTATATTGTCACTTGGAATGGCTCCACTGTGTCCTCGTCAGGGTGAAATAACTCTGTCACACAGGAATAGCCTCCCTTTTCCCTGTGGTCGAGATGAGCTCTCACAGACTCGGCATTCTCTGGTGCAATTTGATACGCCACTCCCCATACTTGTTCCTAGAAGAAATTAACAAAAGAAAAGAAAAATCATAAAATGAATTTAAACATATTGTATGTCATTGATTTAACATGTTTAGCAAACATCAAATTAAATGATAGAGCATTCAGAATATTAAAGAGTAAGAGCTTTGTCATTGCAAAGACACTTCATTCTTAAAAAAAAACAAAACATTAAAAGAACATGTGCCCAGTTCACCATTTAGTCAGTATGTTTGTTTTTTTTGTCATTCAGATCCATGCATGTAAAAAGCCAGATGTGATATTATGATTTTACTTTGGACTTGAGTCCAGGGGCACGTAATGATTTGACAGTGATGTAACTAGAATTAATAACTTACCTCTGGATCTGTTGATTTAACTAAGGTTACTACACGGCCTGGCTGTAATGTTATAAAACAGGGAATTAAATTATTGTTTGGCAACAATCTTAAGTTTATAATGAAATTTAAATTACTGTTCTACAGCTGGTATAATGACAAAAGAAAGAACTGAATTCAATTAATGTAATAATTAAAGTAATAGGCAAAGTTCAGATTATTAAAGGTTTTATTTTGTTGGCTTAACACTCACTTCCCCTTCTACATGTTCTATATGCTGTGTAACTTAAATTAATATGGTTTGCAAATATTAAATTATTTTCAACCTTCAAATGCTTCCAGACAAATTGATGTACCTGTATTGTCATAGTATGGGGCAACATAATAAACATAGTGTACATAAATACGTATATAATACAGATAAAATAAAGATTTCATTTATAAGCCATTGCCCCATGAAGTTGGCAAATCATGCACTAGTGCCCGAACGTTGGCTGACCACATGGACAAAGGGAAATAACTCTTGTAAATGTAAAACAGCTGACTATTCATTCAATAACGCAATGAGGAAGTTTGTAGAATTTTTTGTCAGTATTTTATCGCATTGTTTTATTTTCGGCAAGGTTGCTTTTAAAGACTGTTTTATATACATAAATAGACCTAAAAAAAGATAATTTCAACAAAAAAAAAAAAAATAAAAATAACAAGGCATGTTTCCGTTATAGAACAATAGAGACCTTCCCTGGCACTCCTCTATGATCCGTGCTCCCTTGCCAGAATTTACGATGGTAGCCTTTTATATACCCCACAACTTGTCTGTGAATTGGAAAATCAACTTTCCAAATAAGAGATCCATATCCGAATACCCACATCTCTCTCTTTCAAGTCATTTATGAGACAAATCTGTGTTCATTGAATAATTAAATGAATGCATTGTTTACTATCATCAGCTGTAGTCTAGGTCACGTAAGTTCTTTAAGCACTGGGAGATAACAAACATGTCGTTGACCTTGACTACCATCAGCTGCTCTTTCAAAATGTACCCACAATGTTGTCCTGTCTTTTAACACTGTTTAAGTATCATAGTATGAGATAGACAGACAATGCCAGTCTATTTAAAAAAAAAATGAAAACACGATCTATGAATATCATTCGGCTCCAATCTAGTTGGGTCCTGGATCATTTCTAACTTTTTCTTTGTTTTTAACCCCTAGAATTGTATAATGAAAGTTTTTTTTCGACACATGAATTATCTTTGACTGAAAGAATTTAATTAACAGAAACGATTCCAAAATTTGATATGAGGAAGACTGATTAGGCAGGGGTTGGTATCTACATTATGGACCCTCTGTGGGTCTTGGGCTAAATCCTGCATCTATACATCCATGTAGACGAAAGCCTGTCTACTTCTCTAAAGTGAATAGGGCATAACTCCTTGGGGACCAGGGCCATGGCAAAACCACCGTATTACAGACAGAACTAGATTGACAGCACGAATTGAAAGGAGATATGCCTCCTTGTCATAATTAATGATTAAAAAAATTATTAACTTCTTATAATTTTTTTAAGTTCTATAGGATAAAAGTTGAAGAAAGAAGCCGGCCCCTATGTTTATGACAAAAATACAGATATAAATTAGCCTCTTAATTATACCTTTTTAGCTCACCTGAGCCAAAGGCTCAAGTGAGCTTTTCTGATCAAAATTTGTCCGTTGTCTGTCGTTGTCGTTGTCGTTGTCGTCGTTGTCGGTGTTGTCGGCGTTGTCGTTGTAAACTTTTCACATTTTCATCTTCTTCTCAAGAACCACTGGGCCAATTTCAACCAAACTTGCTACAAAGTATCCTGGGGTGAAGGGGATTCAAGTTTGTTCAAACGAAGGGCCACGCCCTTTTCCAAGGGGAGATAATCATGAATTAGAGAAAAAATAATGGCATTATGAAAAAATCTTCTTCTCAAGAACCACTGGGCCAGGAAAGATGAAACTCATGTGGAATCATCTTCATGTAGTGTAGATTCAAGTTTGTTCAAATCATGACCCCCGGGGGTAGCGTGGGGCCAAAATGGCCTATCAAAGTTTTACATAGGAATATATAGGAAAAATCTTTAAAAAGCTTCTTCTCAAGAACCACTGGGCCAGGAAAGATATAACTCATGTGGAATCATCCTCAGATAGAGTAGATTCAAGTTTGTTCAAATCATGACCCCTGGGGGTAGAGTGGGGTCAAAATAGCCGATCAAAGTTTAACATAGGAATATATAGGAAAAATCTTTCAAAATCTTCTTCTCAAGAACCACTGGGCCAGGAATTCATCATTTTCATGTGGAATCATCCTCAGATAGTGTTGATTCAAGTTTGTTCAAATCATGTCCCCCGGGGGTAGGGTGGGGCCAAAATGGCCGATCAAAGTTTTACACAGGAATATATAGGAAAAATCTTTAAAAATCTTCTCCTCAAGAACCATTGGGCCAGGAAAGATGAAACTCATGTGGAATCATCCTCAGGTAGTGTAGATGCAAATTTGTTCAAATCATGACCCCCGGGGCAAGGTTGGGGCCAAAATGGCCGACCCTAGTTTTACATAGGAGTAAAGGAATATATAAGAAAAGGAAAAATCTTTAAAAACCTTCTTCTCAAGAACCACTGGGCAAGGAAAGATGAAACTCATGTGGAATCATCCTCAGATAGTGTAGATTCAAGTTTGTTCAAATCAAGACCCCCTGGAGAGTTGAAGTTCAAGCTCCCCCCCCCAACCCCCAGTAAACTTTCAGTTCTGATCTGATATGTGCTTTTTCCTAGCCAATTGCTCAGGTGAGCGATGTGGCCCCTGGGCCTCTTGTTATTTAAATGCACTCTGTAGCTTCAATAATTGATATGTTTTAGGAGGGACTTATACACTAGTAGTATAGGTATTAGTACGTAGGTCCCTGAATTTAGCGCACCAGCTAGCCAAACTCCACCCCCTAAATCCGCCACTTAAAGGACTGAATATATGTTTCAATGAAAATTCAGGAATTCGATCAGGGATTTTATTGGGTATACGTGTATAAAAATTGATCTTGATATTGTAGGCTAAAAACTTTAATCAGGTAAACAGACACATGTTTAGTCTCTGTTCAAATTCGTCTGCATTGACGTTTGAGTCGGAGGGGGGGGGGGTGCTTGTTATAACAACTTTTAAAAAGTAAGTAGATTCAAATTTATATTAATTTATTTTGAACTATGAACAATCTGAAAGGCAAGCCCCTGTGGTTTGAATAGGTTCTGCTGTCCGAGTGAATAAAAAAGCTCTTTATTCTTCCTTTTGTTTCTGATTTGGGTATGGAAGTTCGTCCCTGTACTAATGTGATTAGCACAGGCGGCAGTTTAAAAATTTCAGAGTAAAAATTACGGGGAAAGAAGTCCATGTTGTTATAAAAAAAAAAACAAATCAGTCCTAACAAACGAAAAGAAATATTTTTAAAAAAATACACTCATGGTTATTTTCAGTGATCGATTTTTGAAAGGGGGGGGGGGGCAGCCATAGAAAAAAAATTTCAACTTACTGTACCTGAAAAAAATCTTGACATACACAAAAAAGGAAAATTGTCCAAACTCGAAAATTCTATTTCTTAGAGGGAGAGGGGAAGAAGCCAACCTTTCTTTCCATGTCATTTCTTTTAACCCAGACATACTACATTAACCTTAATTTAAACGTACTGAAACAAAAGTGTGTGTGGGGGGGGGGGGGCAACCGGACTCTCAAATGAACATTTACTATAGTACAAAGCTATGTCTGGGACCCCCCCCCCCCTTCTTGCTGCTTGCCTGATTTTGGAATTAATTTAATTATATATTTTCTTGTCAATCTAATTATTTGACACGCAATATTTAATTATAAAACGTTAGGAGAAACAAGAATGTCCCGTCTTGTCAGGGACCCATTATTGATCGTTACTGTTATGAAGACATTCTCGCTATCATTGGACTATTATTCTGTGTGATTGATGATAGTACATTTAAAGTACCCTATTTTCTTTACCTATTGATTTAAGTAAGGAATTTAATTTAGGTTTATACTGACG